ATGTACGTAACGCCAATAACTTTGCTGGAGTTGCTGAAGATACCTGCCAGCATAGTAGAGATGTAAAATCTGTCTTCTAGCACAGTTCTTTGCCCAAAGATTTTTACTACACTTCCATCAGTTTGGGAGCTCTGTACTGCAGGACTGCAGCAGCGTTTGGTTTTGGCATCCATTCCTAACATGCAAGGTGTCATAACGCAGGAGCTTTTTTAAGCTATGCAGGCAGCACATGAAAAGGCAGTCTAGGCTCTGAGTGCAGGAGGACTAGTTCTGTTAGAAAAGCACCTTTCCACAGCCTTTTCTTTCCTTACTCTGGTCTGTTTTCTCTAGATGGTCCAGGTTTTTTCTTTTTTAAAGAAGTGCTTTAACTGGATATCCTAGTTACAGCTTTGACAGTTTGTTTACAGTTTTCATCTGCCTGAGGGCAGTTGAAGGCACGTTACAGGATAAGTGAGGTAGTTTTGCTGCCAGGAGAAGGATATGCTGGTAGGATTACTGAGATTAAAAAAAAAATGAGCCAGGGAGAATGACATAGCTGGAATGGTACCATGGGTCTGTAATTTTATCCTAGGGGAACTCATAGTAGTGTACCTTCTCCCCTCCACTCCCTGTTTTAACTTAAAGAGAGAAAACTGCTGTGCGTGGAAGAGAAAAATACAGCTGGAAATACTGGCTGAAAAGGCTTCAATTCTTTTAATTGACAGCAAAACTAAGAGTATTCACTCACTCTTTGAGGCAATTAAAAAAAAAAAAAGAAAAGGAATGAATTGTACTGTGGAAATCCCTTTCTTTCCCCACTGGCTAGGGATTTAGGTGCCAAAACGAACACCTCACTCTTAGATGGCTGAATTTAAGTAGGATGAATCCACTGAATCAATGAAAACATTCACATCAGTTTCAGTGGGTTTTGGGTCAGGCCTTTTGGCTTCCAGTTACAAAGTTTTTGTGTTTCCATCCGTTGATTTGCAGAGTTGGACCTTTAAATGTGATAGGGGAGATGCAGTGAGCATTCTGCAAAGGAGTGGTCTGACTTGGGTTTCTGTGCTGTTTCCCTGCCTGCTTCTAGCTTTCTGACCAGGTCTCTTCTCTTATACTACATTTGCTCAGCGCTGTTTTCTGCGGGGCGCTGCCACTGTCCCCTAATGGAGCCCTGTCAATACTTGCCGCGATGCTGCCCTGGAAGGAGGTGTTGTGCTTTTCCCTTTTTACTAAGGGATCCCGTAGCTGTGTGTGCCCAGACCCAGCAAGGCGCTCCGCCAGAATCGTGGGACCCAGTGCTCCCTGCCAGGGAGGGAAGTAAAACTTCTCGTGTCGGGATGACTTTCACACGTGCCTGCGGCACTGTGCTGCAGGGCTGGCAAGGCAAAGGCATTGTGCTTTGGTTTGTGTTGGCTGCTGAGAGCCGAGGCTTCAGACAGAAAATGTTTATTAAAAACACCCACTGTAAATGTTATCCGAGTTCCCCAGGATAGAATTGAAAGCTGTCTTAGTAAATACACTACTTCAGAAAATACACCACTTTGGGTCAAATTCTGCTTTCTTTACTAGAGCAAAGCTCTCACCACTGTCAGCGAGACTGCAAAGTTAGTCTCTTTTTATAAATTTGTCATAAGAGAAAAAAAAAAGCGTAATGTATTTCTGGGGAAATAATACAAGGGTCAAAACTTTTGGGGGAGATTCTCCCGCGCTGTCTCTCCGACAAAACTTGAGTAAGTTCTTTAAGGCAGGCTCAAGTCACGGGGTCTAGCTGATCCTCCTGTTGCTTGCTGTGTCTGCTGCCCAGTGCTGCCCTGGAGCGCTGGGGCAGCCGAGCCCGGAGGGAGGGCAGAGGGTTACTGCCTGCCTGAGCGGCTTCTGCTGCGCTGACATCAGGTTAAACGAAGACCAGGCTTTCAGTGGAATGAGTGACATGTAGCAGCCTGCTGAGATGTTGGAGATATCAGGATACAGATTTTTTTTTTTTTTCTTTTCTAAGCACATGGCTGTTAATACAAAGAGCTCAGTGAGATACTAACAATTAAGCCTAATTTATGAAATCAGGACATTCCTTGCCTGAAGTTACTTCTGTTTTTTAAAAATTGACATACTGTGACAGATGGACTTTTCCTTACATGTTTTCAGTTATTTAAGGGACTGCTGATCTCTCATTTCTAGACCAGTGCATTGAACCTTTGGGGGATCACGGGGAAATACAGGTTGAGTACATATATTTGTCCTTTGAAATGATGGATATTCCGGAACTACCAACTGCTGTTGAGATGTACAGACCAAATCTGACTTCTGAGTAAAACCGATGGCATCGTACCAGGCATTAATTTGGTCCCTGATGCAAATGCCTCTAAAACAATAGGGTAAAATAGTCACAGGTGCCTGAGTCCCACTGAGAATCAATAGGAGACTGTAGGCTCCCAGCTGATGTAGGTGCCTTTGAAAAAGTTACTTTGGAAGCTGTTTAACCAAAACATAAAAAAAGCTGTGGTGTGTCACATGCATGTCTGTGGCATGCAGAAAGTATGTCACACCTGCTTTTGGTTGTGGCGTGTGCCCTAGGCTAAGCCACAGCACCAGGTATACAACCAGCCCAGGTTGACCCACTCTAGAAAAGAGGTGTATAGCATGTTTGTTCACTTCACAGACGTGACTTTCCCACAAAAAGCTGCAGGAACTTAATAATTTGAGGCCTGACCTGGTTCTCATTTGCATGGGGAACTCCCACTGAAGCTCAGCAGGAGTTTTGCCTACAAAAAGGCATCAGGAGTAGAGACAACATTTGGAACTTGTCTACAGAGAAGAGAAAACCGCGTCTAGGGAAGCACAGCAGAAGTTTATAGAGGACTAACATGCTTGCCCACATCTTGGCCACGCTGCTTAGATATTCATTGGTTTTGTCCCTTTTAGACTGTAAACCCTCTGAGGCAGGGAACCTCGGTCCCTGTGTTTGTACCAGTGCCCTGATTAGGGCATGTTGTGAGAAATTATTTCATACGTTGCCAGCCTTTTACTAGCCACATGTCTCAGATAACACTGTTTACAGTCAGAAGAGCATTCTCTAAACATTTAGGCCAGAGTAATTTAAGGATCCTCTTGCACAGTTAGTAACTAGAAGGGGCAGCATAAAGAGCCATGGGCACACCGGGACAGTTCTGCTCTTAGCAGATGTTTTGCAGTCCACTAATTATGCTTCGCCCAGTGTCCTAGGTGTTGGGAAGGCTTTGGCCATCTCGTTGAGCAATGTAGACCTTGAACTGTAAAGATGATCCTTGTTGAAAGCAGAGGAAAATAGAGAAGGGTTTCTTCTGACTTGTCTTTGTTGGTGTATCTTGGGCATAGACCTTCTCAATATCAACAGGACTGGGATTCCCTCGCTGGCAGGCAGCTTTCCATTAAGCACAGTCATGTGCATTTTTGGAATGCAGAGTATTCGTTCAACTAGCTCTATATAATAATAGAGGTTTTATTCAGGGCTTAGGGAATATCTCAATGTGGAAAAGCAGGCACAAGTCTGAAAGAGTTCAACAGAAAAGAAAGTAAGTGTGTATAAATGTGTGTGTATACTGGTAAATTCCAGGAGCTTTGAAATTTCATTACTGTTTATAGCTCAAGGCAATGAGAAACATCTCACATGTGTAGTGAGTAAATAAATACAGTGTGCACAGCCCTCTGCAGATATGTTTTTATCTCACTTTAACATTATACTAAATGGTGTCTGTAACCTCCATAAATACCACAAGAAGTGAAATGGCTTACATGATAATTAAAATGCTGTTTCTGCTAAGACTCGCCCCCCCCCGCCCCGGCTTCTCCTTTGCCAGAGGAGCTCTGCTAAGGGGCGCGTGCTAATCGCTGCACACAGGTGAAAGCAGCTTTGAGCGTGGGACTTTTTGTTAGCTGTGGTCAGGCTGTCAAGACTGTCAGGTTCGTTTAGGGAACACAGGGGCAGAGCAGCTGTATTTCTAGAATGGAGTCTCTGCAGGAGTTTGTGGGTGGTCATAGCACTGAACATTGTATCTGCGGGCTTTAGCCTGTCTGTGCCCTGTTGACTGTAAAGTCCACCTGCAAGTAAATTCTCTTTTTAGACCTTTGTCCTGGTTTCGGCTGGGATAGAGTTAATTTTCTTCCTAGTGGCTGGTACAGTGTGTTTTGGATTTAGTGTGAGAATAATGTTGATAACACACTGATGTTTTAGTTGTTGCCAAGTAGCGCTTATCCTAAGTTAAGGATTTTTCAGTTTCCCATGCTCTGCCAGCAAGCTGGTGCACAAGAAGCTGGGAGGGAGCATGGCAAGGACAGCTGACCCGAACTAGCCAAAGGGATATTCCATACCATAGAACGTCATGCTCAGTATATAAACTGGGGGAGTTGGCTGGGAGGGGCGGATCGCTGCTCAGGCATCGGTCAGCAGGTGGTGAGCGACTGCATTGTGCATCGCGTGTCTTTTTTTTTTTTTAATATTCCTTTTCATTACTATTAATAATAATATTATTATTATATTTTATTATTGGTTTTGTTGTTAGTATTGTATCTTATTTTACTTTAGTTATCAAATCGTTCTTATCTCAACCCATGAGTTTTACTTTTTTTTTTTTTTCCGATTCTCCTCCCCATCCCACTGAGGGGGGACAGGAGTGAGCAAGCAGCTGCATTGTGCCTACTTGCTGAATGGGCTTAAACCACAACAACTTTTCATGGAAAGGAAGGATTAAAGGCAAGGCCATAGATATGGCCTGGTAGAGATGACACTGTTTGAGAGAGAAGTGGGGAGGTTTGGATCCTGGCTCTTGTGGTGTGCCCCTCTCTGCGGGTCATCTGGTCTGCCCACCCCTCTAGTCGCTAACTGAGAAGTGGGGGTGATGATAATTTTTTGCCTGTTGAGATTTCAGTTTCTCTGGAGATGGGACAACATCCTACTGCACAGTCATGCAACACTTAATCGCGAGCGGGCCCGGCTTTGGCTGGTACGTGACGTTCACCCCAAATCTCTCTGCCTGCTTCTAATTTAGCATCTGAACAACGCCTGGGAGTCGGCGTCCTGCGGGAAGATCGAGGATCAGATGGCCCTGACGGATCAGGCACGCAAGTACATGGCCGCCTTCCCCACCCGGACTCTGGTGATGTGAAAGGATCGACGGACAGAGAAGCATTATGGTTTTGAGAACACTTCACCTCCACTGGGAAATTCCTGTTCCTCTGCATGAAAACTTTTCATGAATGGGAGAAGAGCCTATCTTTGTTGTGGTACAACAGTTGGGAGCAGCACAAAGTGCATTTATTCACTCAGCATATATATTCTTGTTGGATTTCACCCAACTTAAGAGGATTTTTTTTTTTTAATAAATGATACTTGCCTAAATTATTAGGTATTAAGTTTGAATCAGTAATTAATGATCTTAAGTGCAGACTTATAATAAAGATAATTTTTTTTTACTTTTTGAGATCAAGCAGACCTAATACACCAGTATTTTTATTTCAGTGATGTGCTAGCCAGGGGTGGGGTTTTGTTTGTTTCCTTTTTTATTTTTTTTATAATAAAAGAGCAGGTACTCAAACAGATATATTTTAAATCACTGAACAAAATGCATTGGTGTAAAATACTGAAATGAAAAGCATTACTACAAACGCTAGTCTGTGCAAAGGGGGAAAACTGATCAAGATTGTGAATGCTCAAACATCCATGCCTCTTGAAATACTCTTTTCTGTTATGGTTCTAGACCATTATACATTGTGTGTTTCTGTTTGGGGGGGGGGGGAATTAGCTTGCTTTAAAAAATATTACTGTATGAAACATAGATTTATGAGAAAAATTATATTTTTATTCAGTAATTTAATTTTGTAAATGCCAAATGAATACTGTGTTTTGCTGCTACAGACCTTAGCGTGTAGACATGCTGCTAGTGTAAAAGGAGCAGTAGAGCTTTATATGGAAAGAAGACAAATGTTGATGTTAGCTAATTGACTATGCACTAGCATTTCAGACCTTTTTATTTTAATTTTTTTTACATCATTTATATTTTTTTCCCCTTTTTTTTATAAGCAATATTTTTGAACACTGTTCCTGGGAGATTTTTTTTTTTGTCTGGTTGTGTTGTTTTGTTTCTCATTGGTTTGTAACAGCATGCATTGCACCTTCATATGTTTGGGAGAACACTGTCTTGTTCATGTTGTCTGTTTTGTTCCATGTCTAGCTAATTGTTCCCTAACTTGGGTCTTGTGTACTGAATCAGGTTCTTAGAAATACATGGTTCTTCGTACTGCCATACCACATCTTTATCGATATGGCAAAACACTGATTTTATTTTATTTTTTATTGTTTGTTTTTTTATAACAGCCTCTGACTTTTTGCTGCCTTAATAGCATTTGGTGCAGCTTTATCTGCACTTAATTTTTTATACGACAATGTACTGCCTTGTAGATAAATAAAGTGTGGTCTTTTTTACTTAAACCCACATGGTCTCCTAATCTTGTTTGTCTTAGTGTTCGGCGGTGTTGTTACAGGCAACATTCAAGCCAGGAAGTTTTTTTCCAGCGCACTTAGGTAAGTAAGGAATAGAGTTTTACACGCCATAGGTAGCCTCAGTTCTCATTGATTGTTAAGGAAGTGGAAGGAGCACAGCACAAAACAGTAAGTACTGAGCATGTTGTGGACTCAAGGCACATCTCTAGTGACACCAACGTCCAGGTCAGCTGAAGCTGATGGGAGGCTTACTGCACCTTTTGTGCAAAACTGCTGTTCTCCCAAAATACTGGATAATTTATTTCGTCATCTAAGACCATCAGACCAGGAACCAACTGAATAAAAGCAAAATATTCTGGAGTTCCTATACTGTAGAACAGATTTTTTCACGCTTGTCTTAAGAAACCAGAGGTGAGAATATACTTTGAAACCTGGTGCATTATGCTGCACAGCAAATAATTGGGCAGACCTGCAGAGCCTCATGAGGCATAAGCACTGAGGACATTCAGCCCCAGGAATGCTAGAGAGTAAAAGCAATTGCCAACAAAACAAAAAAAAGAGAAAAAAGATGCAACCTAGCAGGAAAAAAAATGCATTTTATTTAGTAGTTTGAAAATAAATCGTTTGCTGAAATTTAAGTTGATGCAAGCGCTTCAAAGTCAGACTGATATTCTTGAAAGAAGACTTCAGCTCCGTGAAGGAAATAATTCTGATTTCCAAGCTTGTGCAGCCACCCTATATGGGCTGAGAGCTCCCACAAGCACCTTCCAGTCCATTTTATTCCTTCCCCATCAGCCTCTCAGTCCTCCCAGGCCAAGGCACGCACTGACCCTCCATGCCATGCTGTGCACAGAAAAGGAGGAGCAAAATGTCCCTTTCCACCCTTTGCAAGGTCCCTTCTTGCATGCTATTGGCTTTCAGCGCAAGGGACTGGTGCCTGCAGCAGCCCCCTCCAAGTTTTGCCAGTGTTTCCCATCTGCCCCCATGTGCGGTTCAGGATCTCGCCAAATGCTTGGGGGCCAGGGGAGAGCCAGCCCCAAAGTAGTTTCGCAGCAGTTACCACAGGCAGGAGCGCAGCACTGGGTATGGATTACAGAGAAGGGGAAGTCTGCGGGAGCGCTTGCCTGTGCAAAGGCTGCGGGCTCATGCCGTAAAAACGCTTGTGCAAGATGCGAGGGAGGACTATGGGACTCGATGGTGTGCAACTTGGGAAGAGGGAAAGGTCTGCCTTTGAGGCATGCAACAGCTTAAGCAACGCATTACAGCTTAAAAGAAAAAAAAAAAGGGAAAAAGAAACACCAAGCTTACAACAGGTCTTCGAGGCAAAGCTCTTGCCTTGTAGGGCTCCAGCTGTAACTGCACCAAGCGTGGCTGAGTTTAAACAGATCATTATCTAGCACCCGCTGGGAAACGTGGAGGCTTACTGTGCAAGTGCCCAGCATAAGGACCGGGTTTTTTTCTCCCCTACACCTTCAGTTGCTTTAAAACCCATTTTAACCTGCAAAACCATTGCAATAATTTTGTTGATGGGCACACTTAGAGCTAATACAGAGGAAAATGTTTCTTTTTCCCCTTTCTTGTTTCACTGAAAATGCAAAACACTCAGTAGATTAAGGGTGATTTGCGTATGTTTCTGCATGCATGTGGCACTTGGCATGAGCAAAGAGGCTTCGTTTGAATGCTGTAGCCCAGGAACCTGATTATTTTTCCCCCACCAATACTCACCAAGTTTCCTTTGCAACAAAGTGCCACCTCCTACATGTCTTGCTCACACAAATATCTCCACGACCATGCTCTGCTTACTGTCTGAAATACACATCTTTCCTTCAGATGTCCAAGAGAAGTCCTACCTGTCTGTTAAATTCCATCTTAGGCATCGGTCAGGCAAGACCTATCCTGAGACAGGTCCATGTAAAGGGTCTTGGTGATAGCTATTTGGCCTTGCAGTAGCCCTTCGCACAGGTGTATAGCCATCCAGACCCATTTAAACCTAGAGTAACCTACCAAAATGAAGGGAAAACAGGTTCAGTCAAGTTCTCATTTAATGGAGAGTAGATATTTGGCTCAAATTCCTATTAACCTTTTTCTTCACTGTAATTATAACTTAATAATGTTGTCAGTGGGAATTCTTTTGATTTCTGAAAAGAATTTAAATTATCATTTCAGCATGTGCCGCTAATTAAAAATGAAAAGGCAAAGGAGCCAGGACAAAAATAAAGGAAAACACCAGAGCGTGAGGTGTTTCCCAGCTAGACCCTGTAATTCTCCAACTCTCCCCAGTAAAGCATACTCTATGCAGAGAGTCCCAGGGGGTTCAAATCCCACAGATCTGATCTATGTGACAGCTATCAGCCTAAACTGAAAAAGTGCCAGAGCTTGGACTGGTTTGGAAAAAAAAAATTACAGCTTGACTGAAAGAGCCAGACTTTGTAGGTAGGAGCCAAAATAACAAGTCTGCTGAGGGTAAAGCACAGAGCACAGCATTGAACATTCTGTAGCACAGAGTGATCCTTCAAAAAAGCCAGAAGAAAAGGGTTTGTTTTTTTTTTCCCTCAGTGTTTGCAATCTTGATCCTCATCCAGGCCAGCTAAGTCAATGGCTACCAGCCCTCCTTCAAGCCCACACAGTCAGGCATGTAAGCAAATGGTGTTTCTGTAGGGTTGTGACTGGAGCATCATAATCATCATCTCCTCTTACTCCTGCCACATATAATTGTATTTCTACCTCAGCCCTGATTTGACACAGGGGCGATGGCAAAGGACAGGAAAAAAACCTGCTTCCTAGAGATCTGTTTAAAATATTTAAAAAAAACCCAAAACAACCAAAAATGGAAAAAAAAGCATGTTAAAAATATTTCAGGAAAGAATGGGTTTCGAAGAACTGGTCTGCATCTTGCTTGCCTTGTCCCCTAGCACAGTTGGAGTCAGTCCATAGCCCAGATGTTGCTCAGAAGCAATGGTGGTGGTTTGCTTGGGTGGCCAAAAGACACTGCCCAAATCTTCCAGTCACAAGGCTAATGTCTTAATTCAAGCAGAAGTCATGTCTCCTGACCAAATGCACTTGTTCCCTTTGTTTGTCTCTTTTCTTTGAACTTGACTTCAGTGCCTCAGCAGTTTTCACTGAAGACCCTAGTACCAGCATAAACTTGTCTGTGACTTTTTTTGCCCTTAGTGACTGATGCAGGTAAGATAACGAAGATAGACCGTAGAGGTCCAAATTCTGCCTTCAGCTGTGTTTGCAAGCTGACAGTGGTTATAGATCTCATTGTTAAAGGCTGTAAAATGTATTCCCTCTGCCAGTATTTTTCCATACATTATTTGTGATCAGGTTGTTGGGTTTTTTACAATCCCTCTTGATACATGACATTTCTACAAGGCATTTTTCCAATCCACTTGAGTATCAGAACAATTGCTGATTTTTTTTTTATTTTTTTTTTTAAATAAGCCTCCTCTTCTCAGATTGCACGGGTCCACATTTACAGACTAGCTCAACTTACACCCGAGGAAATTTCATTTCATGGGGAAACAACTTTTACTACTTGATTAAATAACTACTGATTGCTACAGCTCCAAGATGCACCCTGTGCACACATCTGTCAGAGAAGCCCTCGCAAATGGCAAAGAAGAAAGTTTCAGGAAGCTCTCCCCAGACAGGTTTCTACACTAACCATAGAGACCACCTCTGCATCTCCCGGTTCCTGCTGGCCCAGCTGCAAGCCTGCCGTGGCCCTCCCGATAAAGTCAGCCCGGAGAGAGTCTTGAAAGGGTGCCTGCAGGTGTGCTTTCCTGCCAGTGCCTATCTCTCCCCGCTGCCTCTAATGTTTCATTAACTCTCTCATCAGCAAACATCAGCATAGGAGTTATCTGAAGGTGAAGGGAGGCCATGACTATTTAAGTGATAGGTTTTTGGTATCTGTGTTCCTACAAGCTCAAGGCGGAGACCTCAGAGGCGCCGGCTCAGCCTTCCTGTGCAGATAAAGGTGCTGCTAGGCTGTGCTGCTGGCAAGGAAATGGAAATCTGCACGGGTTTATAGCTCCTACCTGTCCAGCCAAGCCTTGCTGCACCTAAGAATTAAATAGAGAAATGGCCATGGTTTGCTGCAAAGGCCTAAAATATCTTTCAGTGAAATAATAAAGAAAAGAGATGATAGTTTGTTTTTCTTTTCAGCTCTGCTCAGCCTCCTGGCATCCTCTCTGCCCCTATAGTTGCTTCTGGTGGGCTCAGCTCTCTTTCACCAAGGCACACACCCCTGATGGGGTCTGGCCCAAACCTCTCTGAAAATTGATTGGAAAAAGTCTCTGCTCTCCATGACCTCAGTGGGCTCAAGCCCATGCTTTGTGAGGGTGGAGAACATGGATCATTTTCCTGCCCATGGCTGATGGGCCCCTGCCACCCCCCACTCAGAAGGGGCCTCCACGCGCTCATGACGGTGCTCCTGTTATGCCCAGGTTCAGGATCACCTTCACTGAAAAGCGAGATTTTGTCATCTCTTGAGTACCTTCCTCCGGTCAAGCCTCATCCGTGCACAAAAGCCTTTAACTGGGAGCAACTTACTCCAGGCTGGGGGACCCACCAGGAACAGGCAGGACAGGCTGCCTGCCTGCCCTGCCACATTACACTCAGCTTCAACACCCTCTCAGCATCTGCCCACCTGCACAGGATGGGGACGAGTTCTTCTGCTGCCCCGTGAAGGTCCCACGGTAGCACCCCAGGAGCAGCAACTCATGGGGAGACCTCTTGAGTTAGCACCGACTCACGCACACCCTTAACTTTCTCTAATCAAAGAGGTTAGAGTAATCCTTTCCTCGTCAACCTCTGATTTGTGGCCACATCCTCTAACAGAAAACCCATAACAAATACAAATGCAGTTTGTACGGTGATAAGCTACAGAACCGATGTGATAGTCACCCCCTCATCACCGCTCTAAAAACCATCGCTTACTAGCACAGACTTTCATTGCATCCCATTGGCATAGCTAC